GCCCCCCAGCCTCTGCCTTCCCCCCCCTCTCTAGAAGTGGCCTACACCTTGGAGGAAGAGCCAATTCTCCCAGAAAAAATGAGTAAATGGGTAGAGGTCTCTAAATAATAAATTATTACTCAATTTAATGCACTCCCTCAAGTCTTCCTCATCCTTTATTAAAACTATACGTATGTCATTTGGGTATGTATGGTTTCCCAGCCTTACCATCATTATGCTAGCCAGACAGTCACCTAATTTCACCTAGGAAATCAGTGGGAAAAAAAAAAAGAATCATTTCGCAAAGCTGGGCTTTGGCATGCCTTTGATGTGCTGCCCTCATTCTCCTAAACTCATATTGAGATTTTGTGTATTCCACTGCACTCCTTTTAATTGAATGATTTCCCATCAGCTTCTGTGACAAATGAAGGACAATAACAGACGCTGCCAGTACTTTCCCCGGGCTGGACTACCCCTGCACGGATTTTATCAATAAACTGCTACAAGATTTTTATTCTAAAGCCCCTCGGTCCCTGTAACACCCGAGGGCGAGGGCGCGAGGGCAGCGCGATGCTCGCTGCACTCCTGGCACCAGCAGCCCCTTGGAGAGACGGACCTCATTCACTTTCCTGAGCTCACAGAGAAGAGACACCAGGGCTGATCACCGTGCCCCTTACACCTTTTAAGGACAACATCTAGGTTACTGACGGAGAATTTCTGTTTTCTCCTGAGATGCAAAGGTCTGAGGAAAGAAAACAACTTAGCTGACAAAGCTCATGCCTCCTGATAGATCTGAACCTCCCATAAACTCTGGTGACATTTAGTTATTTGGCCCAATTATAAACCTTTTCAGCCAGCTCCCGTTTTTGTGCCAGAGTTGAAGCCTGCTAGAGTCCACCCAGTGTTAATTTTTAACCAGGCAGACATGCCCAAATGTCTATTTGTTAATGGGAAGGTTAACCAGGCAAAAGCAAACCTTCTGAACTTCTCCAAATCTTCCTTTCCCTAATGTGTTGTTTGGTTTTTTTTGTACCAGAGGCCACATTAATGGAGGAGCCAAAATCCAATGAAGACAACCATCTAGATTAATCACTCCCACCACATCCACGTAACACTTTAACCACCCTATAACTTCTCTGTTCTTGCCCCCAAGCTCAGCAGCCCCTCCCCGGGCTCGTTCCCTGCTTGTTACAGGCAGGTCCCAGGTACTAAGAGATGAAGATTTTTTCTGCTCCACCTCAGGCTAATCCAGGCGGGGGCTGCGTCAGAAAACAACTCCGAGATCATGGGAAAGAAGAGGACTGTCCAAGTCTGTCAGGAGTCACTTAATGGAGCTTAATTGTACCAAAGGCTCTGCGGGGCTTTGCTGCGTATAAAAAAAGC